CCCAGTTCGTTTTTCACAGCATTTTAAAACCAAGGCATGCATCAGAACGGAGTTCAGCGATGACTCCAGTCCCTTTATCTGCATGCGGCACAACTGATATTATCCATGAACCTCAGTGCCGTTTTAGGAAGATGTGTTTGAACACAAGTTCTACCCTGTAAGCTGTAATTATTTGGAGAATGCTCTCCCTTGTGGTGGCCTGTTTCTCTCTTTGATCTTCACTTGAGGTTCTTTCAACATAAACGGGGGTGACATTTAAGATCGTTCCAGGCTATTTCAGTGTGTACGTGTTCTTACGCACCCCAACACGGGACCTGTTCTTTCGAATTTAATGAGCGCCGGAGCATCCGATCCTGCCCAACAGTCGCCGGTGCACGCTTGTGCGTTTGGCCGGGATCTCTGGGTTTCTTTCTGAACCGCCGCGGCCCTTGTTTCCATTTCTCCCCCTTCTGTGGTTTCCTCACGTATTTTGCTGAGTTTACAATGAAAGGGAGAAAGGGTGATGCATCATTAGCGTCGGTCTGCAGCCTCATCAATATTCTTCTCTTTACCTCACTCATCATCATCATCATCATCATCATCACTAGTTATGCTCCAGAGAGTAAAGTGGCACGCAGCGCAGGCTGGCTGGGGGGAGAACAGACCAGCGTGTGAATCGGAGAGGCTGCTGTCAGAATGACTTGAGTGGCCGCACATGGAGCCGTCTCACCAGCCTGCTCAGCCTGCATGGTGAGGCCGTAGAGCTGGCTTGGATGGAGCTGGAGATTCGAGGAGTGGAATCTAATTTGAAGAGAGCTCAGCAGCAATGAAGTGAACATTCCTTGGAACATAAATGCATGGAGAAAATTGCATGTTGGGTTGCAAAAAAAAAAAATAATAATAAATAAATAAATGGTGCGGCAGGTCCTGGGGCAGGGCCAGGGAGAACACTTGCACTCCTGCCGAGCGGTTCAAGTTCAAGACGGCAGTTCCAAGAGGACCGGGAAGCACCTCCGGGCAGGTCACACACGGAGTTGTAGGAACAGTTGGGAGGAAGGAGGGGACTGGCACCGAGTCCTTCACTGCCTGGCAGTGCCGGACTCTGGACTCACTTGACTGTGAACTCCCAACTCCATCCTTCCCATTTGGCCAGGGGGGGAGGCAGGTTCCGAGAAGTTAAATGACTTGCTCCTGTGTGACAGAGCAAGGATCTGACCCAAGATTCTTTGAGACCAAAGCCCTCCCCCATCCCCGAAGCTCCCACATTTTGATAAGCAAGGAAAGTAAATAACAGGGGACAAGAGGAAGGTTAAGAGATAAATTGGTGTCAGGAAACACTGTTTGTTCTCAACTCCATCTGTGTTGCGGGGGGTTGTCCTCAGAGGCCATTGCCCAGGGAAGGCTGTCGCTGTATTTATCAAGTGGCAGCAATCTGTGCTTTTTCCAACTATCCCTGCCCAGTGCTGTCATCTGTGCCACCGTGGCTCAGAGATCGATCCTCCCACACCAGACACATTGCTGTCTCCCCGTGGGTAGTAATATCATGGCCTGACCTGCACTGATGGGCTTACACAGTAAGGACAGATAAGAGGGAGAATTTGCCAGTACTGACCAGCAAATCCCATGTTTTTGTTAAGAAAAAATAAATTCAGTGCCGTGGATATAAAGTTTGAAGAATTCCACCCTAGTTGCTCACGTGCTGGGCTTCCCCGCTCCAGTCCCTACTCCCCACTGCAGCCGCCGTACACTTTCCCCCTCCTAAGCTCCACTCCCTGCCTTCGCTTGCTCCTGGGGCTGTGGTCCCCCCATGGGCAGCACACACCTGACCACCCGTCTGTCTTGGGTGGTCACCTGAGCCTGCCTCCTCTGCCCCTCTCGGCTCGGATTTCTGTTTTCCGAAGATTAAAACAAGCGTTCCTGGATTGTCCTCCCTCGAAGCTGCCCCTGGGCCTCGCACCGCCTCCCTGGGGGCTCTCGTTCCTACATTCCGGCAGCTTCCCCGGGCTCCATCCATCTCACGTGCTGACACCACTCAACGGTACTAGCCACCTCCCCGTCTCTGAACCGGGAGGTCTCTCCTCAATGTTCACTCCCGGAACTCTTTGCCCGGGACCCATGGATGAGTTTCCTCCCACTTCGCCCCTATTTTTCCTCTAGACGGGGCTGAAATCTGGGTTTCCCCTGAGGGCCTGATCTGTTCTGTTTTGCCTGTCTCTGGCTGATGTCTCTTCTCTGTGGGCGCCGCCTAGGTCTCTTGGGTCCGGTCCTGACTCTTCTCTGCAATATCAGCCTCACATTTTCAGCTTCTTTTCGACTCTCTGATATCTCTCCGAAGAACGTGTTTCTTGTCTCTTCGAGCACCTCAGACGGAATACGGCCACAGAGAACTCATTGTCTTTCTCTTGGCGATCCCTGTGTGTGTCAGTGATAGATAGCGCCCTCCTCTCAAGACTTCGCTTGGCTTCTTCCCTCCCACAGGCTCCTGGGAAGCTGCTGCCAGGTCCCACCGGCTCCTGTAAGACCTCCCCAGCAGTCTGCGTCTCTTCTCGCTAACTGCCCCGTTTACTTCAGCTACTTATTGCTCTTGTCTAATGTGGGAACAGTGTCCCAGCAGGTCTTCCGGCTCTCTCCTGAAGGTAGCTACCTGATGAGTCATGCTCATGCTCCTGACCTTGCTGGTGTTTCCCCAGTGCTCCGCAGAAGGCCCCTCGCGTGGCCTTGGCCCGGCACCGGAGGCTATCCGCAGCCGGTGGTCTGCGGCCCTCGACCTGTGGTTGGCTTTGCTCCCCCCTCCCCTCCCTGCAGGACCTGCTGCCCCTGGCTGGGCCTGCGGGCATCCATATCAAAACCCTTCCTGTAGGAGCTAGAAGTATGATACTCTTGGGGATGGGCTGTCTAGGTGACTCTTGTTAGAAAAAATCCTGTAGTCTGTGTCCAGAAATAATTCTGTGATTGCTCACTTCCTTTCCTCTGCTCGGGCTGATGTCTGACCTGGAAAGAACCTGTTCTCTGATTTTACATGGGGAGATCTTCCCCGTAATCCAGACTTGTCACTGAGCCGCCCCTGGTTCCCCTAGCTCCTGTACGGCCTGCATCACTTTGTATGGATAGCTGTTTGAGTCCTTCTAGCCTGGGAGTTTCTTATGGGGAGTGACAAGGTCTTAGCTACAAGGAACGAAAGCAAATACTGTGATGATTGACACATGGCAGCTATGTGATGAAAATTGGAATGAATAAACGAATGGAAGAGAAAAAAAATTACATTCATTCTGACCTAACTTTGAATTGCTTCGGGGCAGGATTTGGGTCTGATTCTTCTTCATATACTGCAGTACTGGATTGGTGCATGATAGACACTGGATAGGTATTTTATTTTTCTATTTTTTCCGGCTCTGTTGAGACATGATTGACAAGTAAGATATTTAAAGTGTACATTGTGGTGGTTTGGTGAATGCATACGTCATGAAGGATCCTCCCTCCCCCATCTAGCTGGCAACACATCTGTCATCTCACATATTTATATTCCTTTTTTTCTCTCTTTGGTGAGACTATTTAAATTCTACTTTTAGTGAATTTTAATTATGCAATAAATATTTGTTGAAGTAGTGGATAGATAATAATTGATTATGATATGAACTTTCTGAATGCTTGTGGTACTATATATTACTTTTAATAATTTAATACAGCTAAAATATTTTCAAAATAGGTTGCTCTCTTGGTTGTCACTGTAAATTTTTATCAGTGGCTATTTTTTACTTCATACTTTTTCTGTGTTCTTAATGGTGACTTGAACACATTTGTGCATTCTTAATTTCACAAAGGAAGTCAGGAAAAGAAGCTTGGCTTTTTAAGAAAAATGTGAAAGAGCTTTTCCACGTCTTTAGCTCCTGCCTCTGGGTGTGGGTGGGGTTCTGGGACTAGCAATTACTTCTACAACAGTGGTTGAATGGTTCTTTCCAGAGTCATCACAGCTCCATGCAGAGACACATAATTTGGATGCTTTCAGTAGGGAACAGAGTTGGGCGGCCTTTATTAACGCTGCTTTGCACTAAGAAGTGCCTCCAGCCCCGGCTGAGTTGTACTGAGTTGCCTTGCAGCTGGGCCTTGCCAGGAGGCTAACACTGTGCTTTTTGGGGGGAAGGGGGGTGGGGGCTGTGAAGTCTGCGTGCCTGCCAGTCGTCTCTGACAACCTTTCCCTGGAAAACCTGATTAGGATCAATTCATGGTCTTTGCCGGTGGTCTTGTTACTTGGTGCGCGCCTAAGGAGGAATGGAATCAATAAACAGCCTGAACAATGTTCCTGATCCCGTGTGCCTTTGCGACCCCTGCTGCCTCAGGGTCCCTGGTGGTTTGCGTGGTGGTCTTGTCTTATCTTTTGTGTCTTGTTATGTTGTTGTCTCTCTTAAAATCAGTGGACAAGAATGACCTTGGTTCAAGTGGCTTGATGGGCAAGGGAACAGAGGCCAGCATGTGCTCTCTTGGCGTCATTCTGATGACGTGTCAGAGAGGAACAGTCCCAACCCTTGTCAAGGGGCAACTTACTTACCTACATTGTGAAGTGCTTGCATTTGGCAATGAATACCCACAGGAGGGCAAGTGGGGTCAGGAAAAGAAAGTGAGAAGATTGAAAGACAGACATCTACTTTTAGAAAATGCTGCAAAGTTATTGGAAGCCAGAGAATTTCTCCGGTGTATTGGAAGGATAATCCAGGTCCACTGGAATGTACAAAACAAGTAACAGACTGGCCCTTTTATGAAACGTAGGGCATTGTGTGCCCATATATCCCAGAGGTATTTGGTTCTTTAGAAATGGGCAAAGTGTTCGCCAGGACGAGCCGTCTGAGACAAGTCATGCACTGACCACTGGACAGACCGGGAATCCTACAGTCTCCGGGGTGGGGAATTTTTATGTTTTTGACCTACTGTCAAGACTTTTGAGCAACGGCATGAATCCATCCGATATGCCGATGTCTCCGCTTGTTTGAAATAATTAACTCTGTGTGCATTTTTGTCTCCTTCAGAAATGAACACACCTGAGCGAGCTCGATGCCTGTGAGCTCCCCCATCGCCTCGTGACAAAGGAAGGTGCCAGAGCGGTGGCCTCTGAGAACAAGCTTCTTCCTCTTGGCCTTGCCTTCCCTGCCCCCAGTTCACCATGGAGACACTCTCCCAAGATTCTTTGCTGGAATGTCAGATCTGTTTCAACTACTACAGCCCCCGGCGCAGGCCCAAGTTGCTGGATTGCAAACACACCTGCTGCTCCGTGTGCCTTCAGCAGATGAGGACCAGCCAGAAGGATGTGAGGTGCCCGTGGTGCCGGGGCATCACCAAGCTGCCTGCAGGCTTCTCCGTGTCGCAGCTCCCCGACGACCCGGAGGTCCTTGCCGTCATCGCCATCCCGCATGCCTCTGAGCACACACCGGTCTTCATCAAACTTCCCAGCAATGGGTGCTACATGCTGCCCCTGCCCGTCTCCAAGGAGCGAGCGCCGCTGCCGGGAGACTCGGGCTGCCGCCTGCTGCCCGGGAACCAGCAGAAGTCTGTTACCGTGGTGACCGTCCCGCCGGAGCAGCAGCCTCTGCAGGGCGCGCCGCCCCAAGAGGAGGCAGCGGAGGCGGCGCCACCTGCGGTGGAGGAGGAGCCAGACAGGCGTGGCGCGGCGAAAAGCTCCACCTGGTCTGGGGTGTGCACTGTGATCTTGGTGGCCTGCGTCCTGGTCTTCCTTCTGGGCATCGTGCTCCACAACATGTCTTGCATTTCAAAGCGCTTCACTGTGATATCCTGTGGCTGAAGAGGGCAGCCGGGACCTCTCTCGCGCGGGTGCGTGCCTACCAGGGCTTGAGCAGGTGTTGGTGATTGGACCCAGGGGAGAAGATGGGGGCGACGCTGATCGTTTGGTGCCGAAGGTTGGCCTCCAGGCTGCCACTTGTTTCACCCAAGACAAACGCAGAGGACAGAATGCGAGACCTCAGCGGGAGGCCAGGCAGGCCACTCTGAGCATTGATGGCAGCAGCTTCGAAGACGATTGCATGCATCCTCATAGTCACTTATTAAATGGACTGCAACTTATGATTTTCCAAAATCACGTGGCCAGATAAACATATTCCACTTGGACATGACTCTGTGCGGGCGCACACGGTGGGATCGTCTCTAAGCGTGGTAGATTAAACCGAAGATGCTCTGTACAGATGCTGGAGGGTAGAATCAACCCCACGAACCCACGGACAAGTTCAGTGATGACTCCCAGCACCGTTCTTCCTTTTTTTTTTTTTTTTTACAGTGAAACCCAGTCTTCATTCAGTTGCCAAGGCCTTTTATACCTTTTGAATGGCACCCCGATCACGATAAGTTCAGCGGACCATCATTTTTTTTTGAAGGAAATAGTTGAACAAGTGTTTCCAAACCGTTGTGTTTTGTCACGCGCCTTCGTTTTCCTTCCCGCGCGACGAGAGCCCAGCACGTGTCTGTTACACGGAGGAAGCCCACCCGGGGGCAGCGACCTGAGTGAGGAGGAGACATGCCTCGTCCCACAGGAAAACTCTTTGCCAATTTTTCTCAAGCCATCTCACAAGACCAGAATTTTAAGTGTAAATATTGTGCATCTGTGTGTGTGTGTGTGTGTGTGTGTGTGTGTGTGATTTGATTTGCCTCAGGTTCTGGATCTCGTCAGGAGAATCCCAGTAGGGAGACGTAGTGGGTGCCAGCGAGTCCAGGCTCTGAAATGGTCACCTCCTGGGCACCGGGACCCACCAGTGAGGTGTCACGCACTTGTCCCTTCCCACCCTTGCCCCTCTTCTGCGGTGCAGTCGAGCCCCGTGTTCGGTGAGGCACACATGGAGAGGAACAGAGCCTTCCTTGCCTTTTCCCCCAGCCTGGGGTATTGAAGTGGCTGTGAATGTCGTTACCTGGTGACAGAGCTGGGCCGGCAGTCCAGCAGGCAGCCTGTGGGTATTTTTTTTGGAAGGTATTATTGTCCCGTGAGAGAGTCCCATTCTCTCACCAATCTGAATCACCATGCTAAACCATTCAGAATCCCCGTTTCCTCTTGTCGTAGAAGTAAGACTGTCTCTTGTATTTTGACATGTGTTTTTATTGGGAAAAGGGGCAAGGTAAACCAACAACTCCCATTCTCAATGTAAACGGACCAGTTCCTTCCCCCTAAATTCTCAAATATGCTTCACTGTGTAATGAATGGTCTTTGGGTGCTCACGAAGAAAGGTCTGCTAGAGTTAAGTGATAAATTGCCATGCCTGGAAGTGTGTGCATGCAGAAATAGCTGTGAGCGTTACGGTTCTTTTCTCATTTCTTTCATGGGATTCCTGGAGCAAGTGCTATGTGACAAAGACTCCTCACAAATATGTATGTTTATGTTTCATTTAATCCATGCAGCTGGGGGAGGGAAAGATAAGCAGTAACTAGTTCCAAAAAGCAAGGCTTAGAAATAACCCTGTATGATAGAGACAATTTAATTTACTTACACGCTAACTGTTACCTTCAAGCAGCACAAAATATGCACATTAAACTGATGGAAATTGTGTGAGATAAAATGACAGTAGAATGACTAGAATCCAAAGCTAATGCTGTTCATTGGTGTGGGAATTCAATATAAAAATATGAACTCGGGTTTTTCAAATCTTTCACATTTTTTTTTCCTGCAGGCCTTTAGGAAATGTATTTGAAAGCTCAAGCTAGAAATTAGGTTAAAATGCCATTTTACTACGTAAGCTATTGGACATTATACAACAAAGCTAGGATTTATTTTGTATTAATAATTTAGGTATCATATTAGCTGAATACTACCCTCTATTATGTAACACAATATACTGTTGGGTTAGTGTCCATTTCTCAAACTCAGCCAGGCTGCTGTAATGCATGTCTGACCTCATTTCCCTTCCTCTGGGGGGAAAAAAAACAACAAAACACAGAATCGTTGCATTAAGAACACTACTTTTCAAATGGACTTTACCCTTGCAATTTTCAGCCATGCCGTGTTGCAATTCATTGTGTAAATGATATCTGCGTATATGTATGTACAGTAGGAAATGACCAGCTGTGTAGTGTAGTATTTGATAAGCCTTCTCCGTGTTAAGTAGGTTACATACAGACACTAACATGTATGACAGTCCAGTGCCCTGTGTTTCTTAGTGTAAAAATACTGAGTAAAAACATTCATGTAACTTCTCCTTCAAAGCAATCCGATGCTAGAGCTGCAGTTAAGCAGCAGAAAATCAGTCAGCTCTATGGTAGATTCTTGGCTTTACAACCTAGAGTAACAATAACAACCAAATCAGAATTTTCTGTGCGAGTGTCACTGACATAAGAAATAGTGTTTGAGTGAATTCTGCCCACAGTTACTTGTGCACCTGTTCGTCAGGGTGTGCACTCTGTGTGTGTGTGTGTGTGTGTGTGTGATGTCTCGGTCCGCCTGATAGAATTTTTGTAGACTTGATGTTTACTGGACTTGGCATCCCATTGCTCTGGCCTCTCCTGGCAGTCACCCACGACACTCACAACTCATCTACCCCATGTGACCAAAGTCCAGTGACGCAATCGGCTGGAATTTACAGTTGCACATCAGTGAAAAAAAAAAATCACAATGGAAAGCACAGAAAGTAAGAGGTAAAAGCAACCTCTGGGGCCTTTGTTTTGAGGACGGACCCACCGAGGCCCACAGAGTTGCGGAGCCACGCGCGGCGGCTTGGAATTCTGCAGCAGAGGCAGAGGGGAACTTTGCGCCGCAGCTTCCTCTTCCTCCCAAGCCTGGCGCCTGCTCTGGGGGGCTGCAGACGAACTTTTCCAAGGTGGATGAACACCCTTCATGGACTCGACTCTTGCTTTAAAGTTTTTCTTATGTAGATTTATATATTCATTTTTTAGTTAGCATCTACCTCTCTGGGAAATCAAAGGAGGGTTGATTTGGGGGTGAGTATAGACTTTGAAAGAAAACCCATGTGATTTGAAATTTTTAATTGCAAACCATTGTATCCCCCCCTCCCCATCCCCAGCCTTGTTTGTAAAGGACAATGAGTGTTGTGTAAATAGCACACTATAAGAAGCATGAATTTTTGCTTTTATCAATGATCTTGACATAAGCCAGAGAATGCTTACTATGTTTAGTAGAGCCAAGCAGGCTATCAAAAAGCATTGTCTTTGGAAAATTTCTGTATAGCAACCTGAGGCATAAGTTGTGATAGAAAGCAAATCCGTTATCAGTTGCCATCATACTGGGTGATCAGAAAGCTCTCAAGTATATTCTTTAAATATATAGTTAAGTTTACTCTTCTGCACAGCTGGAGAGTGGGTCCCCTGAAAGTCAGACCCACGGGGGTGCAGCCCTTGGGACTCTCCAGGTGGGCACGGCTCAGTGGAACTTTCTGTGATAATGGAAATATGATGTAACCTATGTGGTCCCATATCCGGCAGTTGAAATGAGGTTAGTTTGCCTGAGTAGCAGGATTTTATGTTTTATTATTTAATTTTAAGTTATTTAAATATAGTCACTCATAGTTAGCGGCCAATATATTGGCCAGCACAGTTCTGGATGGTTGTGCAATGGTGTCTAGCATCAAAGTATTAGGAGGAACAGAGTAAGGCTAAGAAGACAGCTTGCGATTTAGTAGTTACATGCAGTTGGCTAAACAAAAAAGAAAAGAAAAGAAAAAACAAAACCTTTCTGGGATTAAAAAGTGTATGATCTCAAGTACCACAGTAAGATTCATTGGTTGCCCTTTGGGGTTATCCCTTAGATACTTTGGGTCAAGGCACGATCAGAATGCTCAGTGAAGCTTAAGGAGTGCTGTTGAAGCCCCTTTTCTGGCGACTAGCTGCATGTGAATCCGTTGCCCCCAACTAGTAGTTAGCCAGTAGACCACTTGACTTGCAAGTTATGCATGACCTGTAACTGTGAAAATGTGTTTAGGGTTTTGTGGCCAAAAAGTAAATGTTACAGAAAAAAAAAAAAAAGCCTGATGAAATCTCTCTTCGCTGCCCACACCTTACCCGGACCTCACTGCTGCATTAGTAAGGTGTGGGGCGGCGGAGAGCACGCATGTTTTACACCGCTCGTGGGGAGCGTCTCCGTTCGCCCCGGGAGTCTGCCGGCATGTCCTCGTCTGTGGCGTGGCGTGTGTGGGCGTTACTCTCCGTTCGCCAGACTCTACCATAGGTACTGTTTTGTTTTTAGTCTCGTTGGTTTTTTTGTTTTTTTTTTTTTAATTTTCACTATCACTAAAAGAATTGAAGATTTGAAGGCAGGCCCAGACACTTTTTTTTTTAACATTAAAAAAACATTGCCCGTGGAAGTTACCAAAATGGCTTTTTAAGTGGGTAAATGGAAGCAGAAAATTCAATGTGAGATACATGTTCATAGAAAGATCAGGCTCTTCCTGACAGTGTAGCATTTGTTCCGGTCTAGATTTGCATGTTAATGAGTTCCCATAGCTTGATTCGAAAACCTCACGCTGTGTCAAAACTGGTTAGTGTGCTTTTCATTGTTCTCGAATATAACATAAACCAAGTGCATTTGCTCCCATTTCGCAGGATTGAGTTGATTCCCCCATCCCCAGAACTCATCAGTGGGCGTTGACTGTTCTTTTTAAGCTTGTTTTTAAAAATTACAAAAAAAATTTTTTTTTTGGCCAAAATAAGAGTTTTTCTTTAGACTACAAGGAAGTTAGAGATCCAAAGTTACTGGCCTGAGAGGAGTGATGTGCAAAAGATTTGAATTTCTGTGTTCTTTCAGAAAAAGGATGCTGCTAACCCATCAGCATTTCGTTTGCACGTAAGACTAGCCATCAATCCGTTGCTCTGACGAAAAATAAGTGGATATTCAAGCCATTGATTTTTTTTTTCTGACAATTGATTCACATATAGACGTAGAGATATAGATGTAGGTCTATGATTTCACAGTAATGAGTTAAATCAAGTAAAGATATTATTGGTCATGTTTTTCAATTGGTGAGTTGCATAATGTCAAATTTTGGTGTTCATACTTTAACAAATTCTATTGGCTGCATCCAGCACATCAAGCTGCCCACCTTTGTGAGTGTGTCTGTAACTAAATTCTTGAGACATCTCAAATGTATCAAGAGGTGGGTTCTGCATACATTTTCTTGGAACATCGTTGATGGTTGAAGAACTTAAGCAGGTGGGGTGTTTCATTTCTGTCTTCTAAATAGCTTCCTGTTTGGCCCTGCTCCAGTGGTCCTGGGTAGAGCACCATGTTTCCCGAAGTCTTAGAATGTGGCTCTGGTTTTTCTGTACAAGTTTCCTTGCACAGTTGAGCCAGTGGTCTTTTTTTTTTCTTTTTTTTTCTTTCAGGATTTACTGCCTGGGGTACCCCACTCTCTGCATCTCACTTATGGTGTAGTGGTGCTTGAAAACACTCATCTCGTCAGCTAGACTTTCTTATTCTAATCTGAGGTTTTTGATACTATTCATATTATGAATCCTTTTAGGGACAATCAGTAATTATTTGTGGCAAAGTGCTGAGGGCTCTTGAAGTCTGTAATGGATTTTCCTTGTTTTTTTCTGAAGGTGTTTTCTCTAGCTCTACCTGTTCTAGATACTGCCCTAAACTCATCATCTTGGCCGTAGGGCTAGTGGCCCACATGCAAGTCTTCTGAGGTCTCCCTGGAGTGTGAGTCGCTGGGTTGTTCTAACGAGAGTTTTCCAAAGGGACGCTCAGTTTTTAGTTTGACATTGGCTTTTTGAGAATCCAGGAGTGGAAGGTTGGGTATGATTGATAGTGGTGAAGGCACTGGGCTGCAAGAGGAAGGAAATGGATGAGGCCACTGCCCCTCCGAGGGACCAAGGTGATGTTTATGTCATCTCTGTTCAAACAGTGGCAGGATGGATGAGCTGCTATCTTACCCTCGCTTCAGACAATTCCTGTACGGGTTTTCCTGGCTGAGGTACGACCCACCCATTGAGCGGACCCTGTGTGGCACTGGTGGACACTTGGCCTTGGACCTATTGCAAAAGATGGACGGAACTGCCCAGAGAGTGAGGAGAGACAGGCATAAAGGGAAGGAAGTCTGGGATGGGATTATAGCTCCAAAGCAAACGGGGCAAGAGCTGGAGGTCAGTCATGGCAGAAACCAGCTGAAGCATGACAATTGGAAAGAATGGCCAAGAGCAATTTGTCACGTCAGCGTGGCCCACCAGATTCAGCCCATGATGTTTCCGTTGAAGACACAGGGGATGCGCTGAGCGGATGAGAGGGCCCAAGGGGCCCCGCAGGTGGTCGGCCACGCCGGGCAATTTCAGAGCCTGCTCCCGAGTTGGCGCTGAGTCCTGGAAGAACTCCGCTCGCATCCTCTTGGCCGTGGACCACAATACCTGCACCCAGGACGTGTCCTGACATGACTGGGCTAATACCTTGGGGAAGACGCATTTGAGAACATTTAGGTTTCTGTCCTGGTGGTTGTCATTTATTCTGTTTTCCTTCCACCACTCGTTCCTGTTTGGCCCCTTGACAGTGGCAGGCGGGGAGGCTGGTTTCAGCTCGGGGTGGTTTTGAACTCCAACCTCAGCCACGCAGCTGCCGCCCGGGGTCCCTGCCCTCACGGCCGCACCAGCGGGCTGCCGGGCCCTCTTCATAACCAATACTGCAGTCAGACGGCGAGATGAATGCCGCTCAGAGGCCACTCACTCAAGTCTGTGACAGGTTTCATTTACAATTATGTGGATTATTTATTTTAGGAGCTTTTCTTTGAAAGGGTTGAATCGCCCTACAGATAAATGAGCTGCTGGGCTGTGTAGAAAACACTGTCTAAATGTTGCCAAATACTGACTTCATAAAGGGGGGGGGGGGTGGGTATCGAGCTGCTGTGTATAAATCTGAATGTCTTAAAAGCATTCTTGCTTGCTCTCTCTGTTGTAGATGGTGTCTTAGTAAGTCCTGAGTTTTTCCGATGAACTCAATTTTAATATATGGTATTTTTGTATGCCAAACTGGTGTCTTGTCCTTTGTATATGTGGTAATGTTGATTTTATGACTACTGTTAAAACACATTTGCTATGATTAAAATTCATAAAACGATTTCAAATAGACTCATGCGTTGGTTTTTCTTCTCCTCCCCCCGCCCACCCCCCCCACTCCACAGAGATTTGAAGGCTGGAAATTTCATCATTAGCTACTTTTAGGATTTGAATAGACTAAGCTTTATGCAAGAAGGGGCTCCCAAACCGAGGATTTTAAGTGGAGGTGACCTTCAGGTGGCTCCTCAGGGGAGCTGAAGAACACATTTGTAATAAGCCCAGGCATGTTTTTACAGGTGGGGTTTTTGTGGCTTCTGGTTTATCTCCCACTGCTTAGAAATGACGCCGTGCGTGTCCGGCCCCAGGCGGACCATCTCATGAGTGCTGAGAGGAGGACAGCTTCTAGCATTTGCAGTGAGAGGCGCTGTGACCCGCCTCAGCCCCGAGTCTGGAGAGGTATCCTGCAATAAATGTTCTCGTCAATGGGGCGGAGGGGGTTTCGGAGAACTGTTTTTGATCAAAGCATCCTGTCTTTCAGTAACTCTGGATCATGTCAAGGAATTGCAATTCAGTGTAGCAGGTGGCCTCATCCTAATTAAGAGGTTATTGATGATCTAATATGCATGGATGCTAGGGTAAGCACAGTCTGGCTCTCTGGGAAATTTTTCTTTTAAGTGAGAGGTTATTGTGATTCAATACCCATTTCTTGTGCCAAAAATGAAGCTTTGTAATGGGAGCCCAGATTCTTGAAAGTGTGAAAATGGCATTTAGCATGTTTTAGGACTTCTGGGATGGATTTCCCTGGTCCCAAGGAGTGTGGCAGGGTGGGACGGGTTGGGGTCGGGGAGGGAGGCTCATTGTTAGGGAGCTGCTTGCTCTTGCCGAGTTTTCCTATCAGCCAGAGATGCCTTAGCTTCTTCACACCTTGGGTCTCCCGCGCCAGGGCTGGGTTAGAGGCAACTTCTCTGTGGCCTTAGTGGGGACCAGGGCCAAGGAGGGGGTCACGAGAGAACCCTGCCTGTGTGTCTCATCCTGGGTAAACCACTGGGGCGACTCCTTCAGACGACAGTGTTTGAGTGGCAACAGTTTTCTGCCTAGGGGTCAGGCAGGAAGGGGAGGTGAGCCTGTGCCAGCTCCAGGACATTTGCCGTTAGGGCCCCTCCCTGCAAAGGAGGGCTGCGGGTGAGTAGCGAGAGTCTGCGGTGGGGAGGGTGCACAGAGAGGGAGTGGAGCCAGGCCCGGTGACCCCTGGGTCCCACCCTGACTGTTGCTTTTTACAGACATACCCGCCCCTCCAAATCCTCGGCCAGATTTCCTGAAGTGAAAGCCTGTGTGTCTGCCAATGCATTGTTTTTCTTAGTGCTTTTGTTTCCAGTGATAATTCGTGGAAGAGAGACCCATTTTCAGTGTACACACGGATGGAGCACCCTCGGGTTGTGTAAATGGCAGCTGCAGTGGGCAGGGAGTCGGGGGAGATGGTGCTAGAATTAGACTGAGCCTCTGCTTTTCTTTTTAGAGGTTTGAAACCTTTTGCATGATTTTACTGGAGCCCCCAAAACAATACAGCTATCATTGGAGTCTGTCTCTCCCTTTCACGTACCTACTGCACTCTGCATTCCCCATCTTGCTTCACACACTTGTGCTTCATAAATGATTCTATTATCATTTGCAAGTGAACAAGTGTATAGATGTACATCTGCATATGTGTGTGCATGTGTACATGTATGATCGAGGTCTGTCCAGATCATGCATCTAGCCATGTAATATGAAAAATAGAGACGTTTATTGAAGAAGATACCAAGATCCAAGAAACATTGAACATAGGACAACGATGCCTCAGTCCTTTTCAAAGTAGACACCTTGGGACCTCACACAGTTCTTCAGTCACCATTAGTTGCCCCATCGTATTTTCCTGAATCTCATTGATAGTCTGAAATCTCTTCCCTTTCAAAGGTGATTTTAGTTTTGGGAAAAGGCAGAAGCCACAGGGCACCAAATCTGGGCTGTAGGGGGGCTGAGTCACCTGGGTGATTTGATGTTTTACCAAAAAACTCTGCATGAGAGGTGATGCATGAGCAGGTGCATTGTTGTGATGAAGCTGCCAGTCACCAGTTTCCCATAGCTGTGGCCTTCTGAATCATCCCAATAGTTTCCATAGGAATGCTCAAGCTTCATGCAAAATTTGATGCAGATCCGTTGTTCTACTTGCTCCATCATTTTGAATGTGACAGCCACACAGTACACATGCTCACTCAACAGTGTCTACCACCGCCACTGACTAGTACAGTGAAGCAGTCACTGTTCACGCATGCTCATTCCAGCCTACTCTCCTTGGCTGCCAGGTTACATCGATGTCACAGAAACCATTCTCGTTATGTTGATAATGGTTGGATTTTTACGAGACAGACCTTGTATGTATATACACACACACATATGTGAATATTTCATGGACACTTGGCATAGATTTTTTTAAGGTTGAAGAGTGAAGATCTTCAGAGAGAAATCACAGTAGAGAAAAGTACTCAGGTTTGGCTACAAAGAATAATTTACATAGAATCATGAGGAAAATTGGGGAGGGGGAACTTCCCCTTTAATCGCTCTAATCACTTCATCCTTCACTCAGTTCCTACTGATCGCCCGGCTGCAGACACAAGCAAGCTGGAAACATCCCTGTTCTTGTGGGCCTCACAGTCTTGTAGGAGAGACAGGCCTTACTAACTAAACAATGTTTACGCCTAGTGCCGAGAGTTACCTGGTGTTTGAATGCATGTACAGGGAAGGCATGGGTTGACCTGCTGAGTCCAGGTTGCAGAGAAGGTCAGAAAAGAAAGGCTTTCTGGCAGAAGTGGCTGCCAGGATTAGATCTGAAGGATAAATTGGGACCAGTGAGGACCATGTGAAGGAACACATTCGAGAAGGAACAATGGGAGACAAAGGAAGCCTTTTTAGGAGTGAGAGATGCCCTTTCTTGTTCGGCTCCCTGCCATTCCTGCATTGCCTTGTGCTGTGCTACCCAGCAGTGGATGACATTTTCAGTGTGACTCTCCAGTCCCCGAGAATATCTACAAAGGGGCGCTTTACAAAGGCACGGTATGGGGGCTATTTCCCTGGAACGTATTTTCATCAGACATCATTCCATGTGAGACCCGCTCCACAATGGGCATCTCAGCTCATTGTGCTTGCATAACTGGGGCTATTTTCCTCTGCCTACGCCATGTGCAGAGAACAGGACACGTGGAATCCTTTGTTCCAGCACTTGTGCTGGTAGTGTCTGAATCGGGTGCACTCAGAGTCCGACATTGCTGACGTAGGGCACAGCTCAGCCCCTCTGTCCAAGCGAAAGCCTGGAGAAAAGCATCTTCCAAGCTATATGTTGAGATATTAGCAGGGGTTATATGAAAAATGTTTTGTGGTAACAAACTCAGTTCAGGTAGTGTTTTCAATGGCAGAACTTTTCAGAGCTTTAATATATGTCTTAGCTTTAGAGAAACAGAACCAATAGGATGTGTATGTGTGTGTATATCTACACATTTTTATCACATATACATATGTAGCACATATTATGTATCTATGGATCTGTGTTTTATGTCTCTGTATGTCTGTCTATCATCAATGAAGAGATTTCTTTTAAGGAACTGGCTCATGTCATCACAGAGGCCGGTAAACACAAAACCTTCAAAGTGAGCCGTGAGGCTGTGGGCCCGGAGAAGAGCTGATGTTGCAGCTTGAGTGGAAAGGTAGTCTGCAGGCAGACTCCCCTCCTCCCATGGGTCAGCCTTCTCTCTTAGGACCTCCGGCCGATGGACCAGGCCCTCACATGTTATGGAGAACAATCTAGTTAACTCAAAGTCTGCTGATGTCAGTGTTAATCTCTCTGAAACATGCCTTCCCAGCAACATCTAGACTAGTGTTTGACCAAGCGTCTGGGTGCTGTGGCCTATCCCAGTTGACACATAAAGCCAACTCCCACAATGCGCTTAGAGGTCTTTGCAAATCTCTGAAAGGGGAACACAGTACATAGCCCTTTCTCCCAACTTATCTAAGAAGGCGTTATTTGCAGAACACCTATCACACATTGGGGAATATTGACCTTGAGTCATAATTCACAATTTTTACTTATCCCAGAAAATCAAAATCTGGCCAAAAAAAATACATTAGTGTATATAATGTATGTAATATGATTAAACCATTAGCTCATATGTTTGCTTCTGTATTTTAAAACAATGTGATGCAAATGTAAATTTAATACTTGTGTGAGACTTACCTTATTGGTAGATTTTAAGTAATTTGCATGCTAAAATTCCATGCACCACACACATTACTAGAAAAATGTTCTCACATTAGCAAATTATAGGGGAATATATGTGTACATCTGCTTTAGTAATAAGGATGCAGATGATTCATACTTGAGCATAGCTCATACGTGCCAGAATAGTTTTGGAAAATTATAGCCTAAAAAATCATAAATATTCATTAGTACATAGTGTGGGGTTAAAAACAACCCACAACAAACTAAATTGATAATGACGAGAAAAACTAACAATAATTTGCTATTAAGAAGCAAGAAGAGCAGCAATTAAAAACATCATTGCAAGCAACATTCTGTGGCAGATGATCAAAACTGTCACACAATTTGAGCTTGCTCTAGCAACAGAGTTTAGCCCAGTCCGATGCTCTCTCCTCCACGAGACAAGCTGTTCTATAGACTCAGACAGCGTGAAAATAAAGAAACCGTCATCATGCAAGGCAGTACTGGTAATAAATCCGGATCCCTCCCCCAAATCATGGGAGTTCGACTGTTGCATACGCACATGCGCAGTAGGAGTCTTGCGATGTTAGTAAAATACTGAATCGGAGCCATGCCGGAATTCTCTAAACTCTAAAACACATTCACGTTAGTCTCAAGATACCAAATTTAGCAGAACATATATAGGCAACTATTAATGAGTTAATCTCACTCAGGCATTTAAAAAGAAGTTTTGGATGGGGGAGGGTGGAATCCATGAGGAAGACCTGTGGGCCCCCCAGTGAGCGGTACTTGGAGGACTGCTGCTGGGGGGTTGGGCAAACAA